TTAGTCCTTAGTCCCAGCACTCAGGAGGCAGAGGTAGGCAGATCTCTGTGAGTTCAAGGCCAGCCTGGTCTACATAGTGAGTTCCAGGCCAGGTGGTGCTACAGGAAAACCCTGTTTCAGAAAGACCAAAAAAAAAAAATCTAAATCTAGGTGTTAAAAGCTAATTTTGAACCTATCATTTTTTTAAATTCTTAACTTTCAAATCTCTAAGTCAATAAGAAGAAAAATTATATTAAAAGTTAGGAATAAAAATCATGAAAAATAATGGATTGAAACATGGTACATGAATTTACATTTTTATTGTCATAGTGCCACCACATGTGATCTGTTTAATCAGAATCTGTTATTATGGGTGGATTTTGTGAATGCTTTCAATGGTGAAAGCATTGTCCCCAGAGTTCAGGACCATAAAATATGAAATGTGTGTACCATGACAATTAGTGTGTGCGTGCACATGTGTGTCTCTGCAAGGGAGCATGATGTGTGAAGAGTTTAGAGAAGAAAATGAGGTTAGCCTATGTGGTGGTTTGAATGAAATGTCCCCTGTGGGCTCCAAGTATTTGTACACTTGTGGCACTATTTGGAGAGGGTCATGGAAGTGTGGCCACACTAGAAGAAGCACATCACTGGGGAGGGGGTACTGTGGGGTGGCTTCTAGAGTTCTTTTTTTATGACCTATATGAGGCTATTTTAAAATTTGTTTTTATTGAATTTTTGTGCATTTCATACAGAATATCTCAAAAAATCTTAATCATCTTTATACCCCGATCCCCACCGGCACCTCCCATAGCCTCCCCCCTAGAATCCATAGCCTTGCCAGGTTTCCAGTTTGACGCTGCTTCCTGCTTTAAGCCTACTTGAAGAAGTGATCGATCACTTGGCTTTCTGCTCCAGCAACCTACTGCCACTATGCTTCCCCCACCATTACGATCCCTACCTCTGGAACTATAAACCAAGTAAACTCTTCTTTCTACAAGCTGCATTGGTCATGGTTTTTTATCACAGCAACAGAAATGTAACTGATACAGCCTGAAAAAAACAAACAGTAAGCATTCATGCTCACAGCGCTGGAGAGATGGCTCAGTGGTTAAGAGCACTGACTGCTCTTGCAGTGGGTTTGATTCCTAGCACCGACATGGCAGC